TCCTTGCAGCACGCTCAGTGACACCACTTTGGCAGCTGTACGTGGGCTGGGAATTGCATCATGGTGCTAATGACGGAACAATAATGAAGTGTTTAACCTCCGACGTCCTTGAGCTTATGGGGAAGGGCAATGAATAAAACAAGCCTGCCGTTTTGTGCGGAGAATAAAACGCAACACATATTCGAGGCACAATCAAGAACCGGAATGTCATTGAGTTTCCTCTTTTTTTTTTCACTTTCATTTTCAAAACGAGCAAAGCTGCCAGCACAGGGGCTGGGGCAGTGACAGACTGGCGTCACCGGGCAGTCGGCATTGAAGGACTCACGCCTCGAGGCGCTGAGCAGCTCCGGCTGCTCCTCCGTGCAGCTGACCCTGCTGGGCTGTGGTCCTGGTGAGCTGCCAGCAGCGAGCAGCCGGAGCAGCAGAGCTGCCTGAGGGGTGCAAGGGGTGAGGGAGCTCCACAGCCCCATACAGGGTGTTCTTGGGGGAAACGCATGTGTCAGTTCAAAATCTGAGCTGCCATTATGTTTGGGGTTTGAAATTAAAAAGATTATGTGGTCCTCCCTACTCTCCTTTATTTTCTCAGTATTTTTCTTTTAAAAAAATTATACTTCCAATGTAAAAAATGTGAAAACATTGTAACAAGTACTGCTAAGAATTAAGCAGTGTTTGATCATGGCTGAAAGATACAACTTGCAGTATGTATTCTTCAGTAAGGCTTTATCATTTCTTACCTGATGAAGACTATTTTGCAGTAGGGAAAGTGACTTCAAGATGGAAGAGCAAAGTAGTGGTAGGGATAACACCTCACTGGATTTTTCCTACCATTTTTCAGCACTTGACTTTTGAATGATAAGCATGATTTAAATTATGGAGAGCTGAAAAGAGAATAAGCCAAAAAGTGCTGTTAAAGATGCTGTCTGATTCTTCTAAAATAGATGTCAATTATTCTAAAAACAAAATGTCTCAGAAATTCTTAGACATTTGAAGATAATGTTAACAAAATGGGAAAAACATTAAAGTTTCAAAGCCAGGCGATAAACTTTCTCTTGGGAACTTCACAGATAAACCCTTGCCTGGCAGACTAAACACCCTCCTTTCTTCTATTATCTCTGTGCTAAGCAGAAGTGCTTACAAACCACAGATTTGCCACTATAGAGTATCCAAGTGTAAATCCAGTGTTTTCAGACTTTGTTTACAGTGGCATATCTCGCAATTCATTAACAAAAGCTAATCAGGAAAATGCATACGGGCTTAAAATAAGCTCTAGCTGATATCTGTCACAGGCTATTCTTTGGTCTGCTGTAAATAGTCATTGCATGTCATCTAACGTATGGTTCATAGTGCTATTCTGGGATATCCAGACACAAATGGGCTTTGCAATCTCCTGAGCTGAGGGTAGCTACAGTATCGTGTTGCTGTGAACTCTGATATGAATCATACTGCATGTAATGCAGTTCTCAGAAAATCCTAGCTCTATGCTCTATGTCCTATGAAAAGTTACTCTGGGACCATTTTCCCCAGTGCTGAAGAATTTGCAGTGAAATAGATGTTGAAAAATTTTTCCCTTTTATAAGGATTTCCACAGTTTTCCTTCACGCTTAACAGATAATTAGATTTCACGTGTTTATTAATTCAGCTATTGTGGGTATTGAAGTATCAGAGCTAGATAACTGCCCACCAAACCTCAAGCAATCAACTGAAATTGACCCAAGGAAGCATAACAGAAGCAAAGAGGAAAAAAGACAAAAAATGAACACAAATAATGATGGAGAGTGGTGGGCATTATAGCAACAAACACCATGTAAGTCTGAAGAATACACAAGTCTTTCCCAGACTACACATTTGTTCCCAGATGTTGCCTGCTATGGAGATATCACAGTTGTATAATTAAGGCTAGCTCAGAGCTTTGCATATATTTCTTAATGCTAGAAATGAGTACATCAGGGCAGCCTGTATTATGGTGTTACAGATGGAGATTGACCTTATGCTGTAAAACGAACACAAGAGGTGATGCGATCACTGCCCATCAATATACTGGAGATGGAAAATTACTAATTTAAAGAACAGCTGACAATAACTAATGGACAAACAGATTGCTAGCAAATTTAACTCAGAAATTATGGGGATCTTGGATTAACTGAAGCAATAGAACTTTGGGAAGCCTTCTACAAAGAGGTGGGAGGAGGAAAATGGCTTTAAAGATGACACATATAAAAGTGTAGATGGGATTCTGTGCAATGGTTCCCCAATAACTGGAACCTGCAGCACTCCCCAGCAGGGCACCTCCAGGAGCTTCCCAATCCCTGAGCATACAAAAACCTGACAGTCTGCAGGTGGGCTCCACCGTTCTGTCTTCCTCCATAGCTCCTGTGCTTGGGCTGCCCACAAAGCCAGGGCTTGGCTCCATGGGCTCCTCACTGACAGATGAAGGACAGTGGCTGGGCACAAGCTCAGGCCCTATTTCTCCATGAAGACCTTCAACAGGCTGAACTGAAAGTTCCCTAATTCATGTCGTGCCCAGGCACCAGCCCTTCCCTCCTTGCCATCCTGGATCCCTCACACACTATGGCTTGCTGGCAGAGTTCCCAGGAAAGAAAAACATCTGAATTAGCTGTATATCAAACACATTCCAGTGATAGATTTAATGATGTAAGCTTCCACGAACTGCCCAGATTACGTCCCTGCTACGTCGACATGCTTCACGCTCCATTGGGAGACATTTTGGATCTGTTGACACACAAAGATACTTCATGTTCACTGAAATGTGAGCTGAGGATCTAAAAATATGGCACTGTGCTATAGGCTGGAGCAGCCCCACTGCTCACGCTTACAGAGGTGCTGTGAGGACAAAACTTCCCCATAGCAATACTGCACCGGCCCTGCTGCCTCAGGGAAAGGGGTGAGCCCCAAGTCCCACACAGAATGGATTGGGAACATTAAAAATATAGAAAAGTGTATTGAAAATGGCAAGTGCCCAATATCCACTGTTAAAGAATTTTCTAATTGGGAATACTGACTTTTTCTCCTTTAAGTATTTCATCTGTAGCTAGCCAGTACTTCCTCTTGTTGATATCTACAGTGAAGATCAGAAATTAATCTCATTTGAGAGCCTTGTAACAATAAAGCCAATTTTTAATTTTTCTTTCAATGGGAACCGTGGCTGGACTTCCATTTAGATGACAGATTTTTGGGGCACGTTACTCCTTCCAACACATTTTTACAATAGTAGACCCAATGAAAACTAACTTGAATTGAGGCTTGGTAGGAGTGATCTCCAATGCCATGAAAAGGCAGCTCAGTGTCTGCGCCACAGAAGATCCATCACCATCCCCAGCTTTTTTTCTGCGCTGTTGTAGGTCTCCTCCATTTTCTGTATAGAGAGGGGCACATTTTGGAAAGTAATTTCCCTGATGAGTGATACTGTGACTTTAAATAGCAACCAAGTGTGCAAAGGCAGAATTTACGGTTACACTCAGTTCATTGAGCAGCAGGGAACTGTCCCACTTGCCAAGGAGCTGAGTACCATGCAATGACTCTGCACATTTAGTCTGGAGGGAGCTGGGTGTGTTAGTGGGTGCTGTGGTGGGTTCCCTCTGAGTTACAGGAATGACCCTGAAGCATTGCTCCAAGGAGACTTCAGGCTCTGAAAGGCACAAATACACTTCCAAACTCCTAGAATAGAAGGATTTTTAGTGGATTGCTTTAGTAAGTAAAAGCAATCCACTTTTCCTGTGTAAGGAAAAGCCCATACGCTCACTGAGTATTCTGGCATATGACATCAGAAACCTTGCTGTACTCGCAAGCTTAGGGAACTGTAGTTCTGCTGCACTAACACTAGGAGAGATCCACAGCACAGTGCCAGGAGCACCCAGTGTTGTTAAGCAGAGAGCAGAGTGTTATCGGTGTGTAATATACTCCAAGATTTTAAGTGATAGTGAAATAAAAAAGGATCAGGAATTCATTATAAAGCATGGATTATTAAAAATAGATCAGTCTTAAAATAGGAAATGCTTCTGTCTGACTTTCTCCATTAAAAATGAGATACATCAAGGTTTCAGTACTGAGGCCAAACTCTGCCATGTTTATAATATACCAGACATTATACACACATTTCAGCTACTACTAACCTACTAAGAATCCATAAGAATACATACATTCGAATAAACATAAAAATATAATGGAATATCTGCTTATTGCCCATTAGCTGCCCCTGCAACAGGGTGCTTCAGGGTGAATACTGAGAACAGCTGGATGGACAGTGCTCCCAGCAGGAGCAATCCCTAGCCAGCATTAAAAAGTGTATTTTCTTGAAGATTTTTGTAATGACATTTAAGATATTTTAAAACTGATCCCATGAGATAAAAGTAGCTTCTGATAAGGCAAACAGATGAAGCCACAGTGCTTCCCTGCGCTCATAGTAAGGGCTGCTGTGCCAGTGCCAGCAGGCAGAGCTGCCCGCAGAGCCCCAGGTGTGCACTGTCAGAATGCTGCTCCTCTTCTGTCCTTTGAGCTCTGCTGTGCCACAGCCTGCGAGGAGGTGATGGAAGCACGAGGAGCTGCTGGCACTGGGCTTAGTGATGTGGAGGAAAGAACGTGCCTTTGGATTCCTACATCTGTGTGAGCTGCGTGTCCTCGCAATCAAGCACAGAACAGGTCGGGTCCACAGGAGCTGTGCCTGCAGTGCCTGCAAGGCCGGTGGTGGTTCAGGGATTACTGAGCCGTGGTTACACGCTGTGCCTGCAGCAGAAACGAGCCCTTCAGGTACTGAGAAGTTATATTTTGATAGTGTGGGGCAAAGAAAAAAAAAGACCAGCTTAACATTAGCGAGGCAGTAGATCCCTGCAACACCTGAGGAGTGACATGGGTTCACCCTCCCTCTTCTGAAATCCAGCCCTTCCTAGCACTTCTTTGGAGCGTTCATGCTATGACCAAAGAGACATTATGCCATCCTCCCAACTCGCGACGTACCTCCATGCTGATGTGAAGCTGCAGCAGGCGGCTGCGTTGGCTTATTCGCCTGAACGAGTGAAGGCGAAGCTCCGCGCACGATCAGCGCCCACCGCCTCCAGCGGCGCCACAACTTCCCGCGCATCCCGCCCATCGCTGCCATGGCAACGGCGGGGCAGGAGAGACGAGACGGGCCGAGCGGCGCGTCTCCCTACCGCAGGGCGCCCCCTCTGCCCGCGGGAGGACTTCCTTTCTGTGGCGGCCGCTCCTCCTCCCACGATGGGAGGCGGAGGCCCGGCATGCAGCGCGGCGCGCCTCACTTCCCGGCCGCGAAAATGGCGACTCCCATGCACCGCCTCATCGCTCGGAGACAGGCGTGAGTGCGGCGGGCGGCCGGGCCGGGCCGGGCCGGGCCGGGCCGGGCCGGGCCGGGGGAGGCGAGCGAGCGGGAGGAGAGCGGCCGAGGCCTGGTGAACCCCGGCTGTTGGGCGCAGCTCCGCCGTGCGAGGCGCGGGGTGGTGGGCCGGGCTGAGGCCGCGGGGCTCCGTGTGCGGGCGGTGCCGCAGGTCGGAGGTTTGGTCGCGTTCCGGGGCTGTGCGGGACCGCGGAGAGCAGGAACGAGCTGGCGCTGCTCTCGGTAAAAACTTGTTCGGTCTGTCCAGCAGAACTGATTCTTGTTGAATTTCAGAGAGTTGCGGTGATGGAGGGATTTGTGACATCGTTGCTGTCCGTTCCTTTGTCATTGTGTGCCGTAACTTATTTCCTATTTTCGACAGGAAAGTAACTTGGGATTCAAAGCACTTTTGCAATACCTGCTCTTTTAAGTTGTAAGAAGTCACTGCTTGATTCCAATGCTTCTGAAGTCTTCATATGCCTGATAGGTTTATACTGATTTGTGTATCTGCCAGTCTTTGCTTTCAGGCAGAGGCCATCGATCTGTGCTAAATGATTACCTTAATCTTGTGCTTTTCATTAACACGTGTTGGTGTTGGGATGGTATTTATAGCCCTGTTTTTGCTGAGCTCTTTTGATCTGTTTCCTGGCAGTTGCGTTGCCTTTAGGGCTTGATCTTATTTTAGCTTGCATGGGATTCTCTGCCTTAGTCACGTGAGCCTTGTTAAAGCCCTAGAAATATGGAGCTGTGTTACTGCTGCTTTGTACTTCTCTTCCTGTGGAGTCAGGTCTGGCCTGGTTTGTGACATCATCTCTGTTGATGAAGCAGAGAGGCTTTCCTCGTTCTGCTTATGTGCATCTGTGGTGGTAGAGCCAGAAGTCCCAGACAAGACAAAGTAACCATTCTGCAGCCTTGTTTTAGGTGTCCTGACCTTGAAGAATGAGTAATTTCATGTTGAAAACATGATACAAGGGCAGAAATAAGTTACAGCAGTTCTCGTAGAGTTCACTGGCTCTAGAAGTAGTTCATGATATGGCCTTGAGTCAGTCACATGCGTGCTCTGAGTGTCCTTATTTGTAAAGCAGGAGTGTATCTGTGAGAAGATATAAAAGCAGCTGTTCTTTAAAAAAAAATAAAACAGCTTTAGAATCGTGGAGCAAGTGCTAAAATCTGAATACACAAATTTTTCTCAGTTTTCTGCTAAAAGTGATCAAATTTATCTCTAAAAACTGAAATGCAGGTGTAAAATGCCCACTTGTGGTTCTGGTGTTTGGTTGATTTACATTGCAGAAAGTGAATAAGAATCTGATCATTCTTACAATAAACATTTTGTCAGGCTTTAATAAATAGTAGGGAAATCAGATAAGGTGCAGCTGGGAGCAGCTCTGCTTTACTTGCTCAGATCCTGGCTGCTTTGAGTGAATTTGGAAGCGTTTGGCAGTTGGGTGACAAACACCAGGGTGCAAAACTGAAAAGTGCAAGCCAGACTTCCAGAAGTGTTACAAGTGAGAAAAGAAATTGAGGTGCAATTGATCACTATACGGACAGCCGGTGTCATAGTTCAGCATTTGCTACTTTAACCAGAAGAAGTCTTAAGCTGAAGCTCTGGAATAGAGGAAAAGCATCTTTCTTCTCCATAAATAGTTGGTATGAGAATAGCTTGGTAAATGCAGTAGCATGTTTGCCAAAGTTCTGTGTGTATTTGATGTTACTGTTCTTGTTCTGATTCAAGCTGTATAAGCTAAAGCACCCATGGACATCAGTCTGCTTTAACAGTAGTGATGTATATTGTGAAGACTATGCTAAGGAAAATTTATATTTTTTCAATAGATAGAACAGACAGACATGGAATCAGTCACTTAAACAATTCTGCATTTTTATAGGGAGGCAAACAAGCAGCACGTAAGATGTCAAAAATGTTTAGAGTTTGGACATTGGACGTATGAATGCACAGGGAAGAGAAAATACCTGCACAGACCTTCAAGGACAGCTCAATTAGCAAAAATTCTGAAAGAAAAAGAAAAGCAACTGCTGCTGCAACAAAGGTAAGACTGTCAGAATGAGAATGTTCAGCTTATTAATGAAGAGGTAATTTGGTGTGAGATGGGAAAGGTGGTGCCCTAGACTGTTTTCTTTTGTCATTGCTTCTGGACTCTGTGATACTACTTCAGTTTTAAAACCACAGTGTGTGCTGGGTGGTGTGTGTACACTCAGATTGCATCTGAGGCAAAAAATAAACTGTGCTAAGTTGAAATTAAAATAGTTGGAGACATTTTTAATGAAATGCTGATTCCTGAGTAGCTCAGTTTCGTATATTCGTGTACTTGTCCAAGCAGGTTTGTGTGGAGCAAAATATGTTTAGAAGCAGTTCTTTAACTTCTGCTTAGTTTTGTTGTTAGACTGTACTTACAGGTAGCAAAGGTCCACTGTTAAGTACATAATGGCTCAAACAGATGAGTTTGGTTATGGGTGTTCTCAGTGTTCTCAGTTCTGTGTTCCTTGCAGTGTGAAGACCTCCCACTAAGTTGTCTATTGATCCTGAGAACCTGAAAACACGCCTCCTGTCACCACCTCTTGCAGCTCAGTGTTTTGACCATAGGTCATCAGTGCTACCAGGATGTGAGTTATGAAAGAGCTCTGTTATCTTGCTAAGAAGAGAATAGGTGGTGACCTCTGTCAGAGCGATCTGATTTGAGCTCATTGGCTGTTTCAGCTGAGACAGGAACGTAAATTGGAGTGCTGAAATACTGACTGAACTGCAAGTTGTCTTGTGTTAAGAGTGCTATAAAATGTTTGATTTTGAAATAAATTCTGATCCAGTGAGTAACCATGAAACAATTTTAATCCTCTAGTAGCATAGATAAGCACTCCTAGAGCCTAAGTGCTTAGTTTCTAGAACTTGCTTCCTTTCGAGGCGTTTTGGAGGACTACTGCCACTTTGAACTGAAACCAGAATGCTGCAGTTTTATTTATGGCTCTGCAAACACAGTGTGGTGCCTCGAGGAAAATAACCAAGTGTAGTGAAGCAGCTTTGTTTGATCTGCAGGGGATCAACCGCTCTCAGTTGTGTATTTCATAGAGAAACAAACTCCCGGATTTATGTGAGTGTTAAAGCTCAGAGGGTGGCATAGAGCTGTGGCACTGCAGCCTGGCTCAGTCACAGGCCTTCCTAAAGGTGCTTCAGAGTGTAACTGTGTGCTCACAGTGGCTCTGGTACCTGGCTGCCTGTCGTAGGGTTCTACAGCCTTCATAATGGGAATGTTAATAACATGCAGAGATATAGGAGAGATTCAAACTTGGTTCAGAGTTTGGAGTTTAATGAATTATTCTCTTGTGTACAGGATTTTGTGAGGGTGTGGAAAACTCCTCTGTGTAATAATTGTGATATTTTCATAATGGTTGTATGAAAATACAAATGTGCAAAATTTCATTTTGCCAGCATGCAAATGGCACTGAGTACTTCTATTAAAATAACGTAGCTTATGCTTAATGTTTTCTTGTTCCAACCTTTTCTGGAGTTTTTCTCAACAAATACTGCTCTCTGATTTCTAAATGTAAAGTATTAGCAGCTCTTCCAATTTATGTGCTTTCTGTTCTGTGTACTTAAGATGGCTTTCCATAATAATTTCAGCTGAGGAAAAGGTATCCTTCTTTGTGAAAGAACATCCAACCTCTTTATGTATCAGAGGTGCATTAAGTGCCTTGTAAATACGTGATGAGGAATGACTTTAATCAGTTTAATTCAATTCCAGGCTAAGTTATATGCTGTATTCTGATAATCAATTGTGAAAAGGGTGCATCTGGTAAATTTAACTGAAATATTTGGGGAGGGGAGGGGGGGAGCAAGAAATCTGAAATTGATGACAGGTGTAAACCTCTTAAGATAGTTTGTTAAAAGAGACTTCGTTCTGTGGTATTTACTACTAAAACCTTCTGTGAGTGTATGAATATATGGGAATATGAAGGACAAGTTGCTGGTAGGGTCAATATAAATAAATTGTTCTGTGCCTTTTGTGCCTGTGAGAAATGTGATGAAAGCTGCAGACTAATTTCATCTTCTAATCCTTTGTTTCAATCAATTCAGTTATTGTGAAATGTGGGTGCACAGGACTTCTCTGTATCCTTATCCCCTCTGCTTTTCCTATCCCAAGATGTTGTCTGTATAGAACAAAGAAAAAAGGAAAGAATAAACCATACTTACCACGGAAAATTAGAGATGAATTGCTTTTTATTTTTTTTCCTGTCCTGGATTTGTAGATATTCCTTCTAGTTTGAAAAATGATTGACAATGCATATTGAATGAGTTTTGGGCAGCACAACTCTGCCAGTGGGATACCAGTTTATTGATATTGAACTCAGCTCCACTGTGCTGCTAAATATTTCCTTTTCCTATGCATTAATTAAAGGCATTGTTTTTCCCCTCTAATTAGCACTGGAGAAAGTACTGCAGAAAGGAAGACCAAGAAAAAAAGGTATGTGGGTAATGATGGCAAGATGTGCAGCTATTTCAGTGTGTGATCTTGTACTTGGATGTTGCAGCAGGCAATTTGAAGGGGTGTATATAGAAACTGAAAGGCAAAATTGTGAATGCTGACTTTGACGCTGCTGCTTTTAGCCTCTTTACAGATGTTTGTATAGCAGATATTTGGGAGAATTTCTACACTTCCCTGTCCAAAAACTCTCCAACTCTTTGTCTTCTGTTGTTTTTTTGTTTCTTTCTTTTTCATACTGATTCTTTTATCTCTTTGTGATTTTGCTTTAGTAGAAATCTTCCTTTTTTGCCTCAAAGTTCATCAGGTAGTTAAATGTGCAAGAGGTAGCATACTGTTTGTAGTCTGTACTTGTTCCACCTATCTGTCTTGCTCTTCTTCTTGTTTTTGCATCCCCTTTTCTTAACAGCTGTCTCTCTGAAGCTTTGTTTAGAGAATATGTATCTTGAAAATAATAATAATAAAAAATCTGGGAGCTAAATATTCTGTTCCCACCCCACCTCCCATTCCTTTTCACTCCTGGAAAAGAAATAGTAATTTAAGCCAAAAATTCTTAGGACATTCTTCCTCCTTTAAATCTGTAATAATGCTAGCTTGGGAATCCACTTCAATCTCTGTTAGCAGAACCCTTTCAGGAGCAGCTTGAGCCCTGGCTGTAGTGCTCCTGCTGAGCATTAGTTTTGACACATGGGGTGTGTCTCTACGATAATCACCTTGTTGTCTCTTTGCATTTAGTAGACTGTCCTCTGCCTCTAAATCTGATCTTAAAAACAATTTCAGGAGGTTTTTGAGAAAAAGCCTTTTGTTTTGTGTGCCAGTTGTTCACAGCAGTTTTTAAAAATGTGCCTTTATATGAAGCTGTTGTTATATCTGGCTTTATAAGAATACTTGATAGCAGAACTGAGATGATGATCAGGATTACTGAGGTACTCTTTATCAGTAATGTCCATTTACTGTTGGAATTACCTGGAAATGGTGAGGTCATAAGTCCAACTGATTTCTAAACAATGGAGTTTGTAATTCTTCCTTCCTCGGCTTTCTCGTGTGCTGCAGTCCTGTATTTGGCATTCTGTATTTCAGAGGATTTGAGCCCTGAACTGCTGCCAGATTTAAAAAAGAGCAGAAGGATTTGTGGTAGGAAGTTGTTCAGCCATTTCTTTCCCCTAAAACTTCTGTACTCTTCAAATTGGTATCCTGTTTTTATGCAAGTATGGAATCCAGCAATATAAATTCCTTTTGAGATAATGTGGGATTTATGTCTCTTTGCTGTGATCCAGGAAAAATTAAATGCAGAAAACTCAGCAAAGCATTATCATGCAGGTTCCAGATTAAAAAACAAACAAACAAACAAAAAAGCCAAAGTTTTGGGTTCTGGCAGAGAACACAAACCTTTTACATAGTGTGTGTTTGTTTTGATAGCAGCAGTAACCTACAGGCTTAACCAGAAAAGCAGGAATGGGCAAAACTGCTGTTGTACAATGCTGTAACCTTAGGTGGCACAGAGTTGGCTTCTGTGTTGGCTTCATCATTGCTGTGTGGCATCCTTCATTTGTTAATTGAAAGCCCCCTTCATGGAGGGCTTTTTTTATGAATCACATACAATTCTAACTATCTAAAGGGTAAAATTGTGTCCTAATTCACTTGTTCCTTCAGGCCACGCAGCACATAAACATCCAGGTAATTGTGCTCAACGTTGTAGATCTGATTTAAGTAGCATGTTAAAATCACTGGAGGTTGTTGGATGATTTAGATGGAGTTAGAAAGGATAAAGTCTGAGAAGAATGATAGCATACATTACAAAATGCAACAGTTGTTCCATGATTTGTGAATGGAAACTCACAAGTTTATTAACACTTGTGAGCTTGTTGTGAGGTGAATTAATGCTTATCTGCTGGAGAGATGTTGTGCTTTTCCAGTGGTGTACCCATAAATCTGGAATCTACCAATCGTTAGCATCGAGGATGTCACATTACCTCATTAGGACAAGGTGAAATAGGTGAATTTTACTTGATCCCATGACCATCTTCCTTCTGTAACTATCGGCGGGCCACATATTGCATCATCTGCAAACAAGTATCTGCTTGCTGCTTTTCTCGTAGATGTGGCTATTGTTTCCTCTAGGTGGAATATGAAGTGTTTCATCTGATGTTTCTACTGAAGGTCCAAGAACTGCTTCTATGTATTCTTTGGTGTGAAAGATGACTGGGGCAGGGCAAAGATCAAAGTCACTGTTTGGGGCATCCTTTGTCAGATTCTTACCCATATAAATGGGTCTCAAATTCAGTGAAGCTGTTTAGATAGGAACAGTTTGCACAGATGTCAGTTTAAAATAGTCCCTTTTTCTCTCATTTTGAGACTAGTTTTACATCAGCAAAAGTCTATATTTAACCAGACCTTACGGATTTTTTTAATAAACAGCCATTATATCTGCACAGAGGGAGAGAGATAAGAGATGGCAGATGCATTACAAAAACTTCAGTGGTTCATTTATGTTACGTTAAAGACCTTGATCTTGAGAACAGCTGTCTTGCTGAAAGGGCTAGAAATGGAGGGAGAACAAATGAAGTTGCAGAGCATACACAAACTCACTTTCCAATGTTCCTAATGTCTTTATCCTGGACTGTTTCCACACCTTCTCTCCTACCCTGAAAACATAAGCACTATGTAATTGCAGAACGTTTGGCTCCTTTTGCCAGGAGTAATCTAGGAACAGTTTCCATTGAGTACAATTCTAACATTTGTGAAATCACTGATGAAATTTCCACCAACACTTACATAGCCAAAATTTCACTTGTTATTACAGTTCTAGGCATCCAGTCTTTGTTAATTTCTGCCTGAAACTTTAGCAGTACAGCACATTCATGCTTTTTCTGCAACTTTGTTCTTGTGTTGAGGTAGGCCAATGAAGTCACAAGATGTTCCTAAGAGCCTTGCCAACTTTCAAACTTACCTTTTTTCCCTATAGTCCTGCACTCACTTTGATGCTTTATGGGCCAACTTACTTCACATGCATGGTGTCATTCTGCTGTTGCTCAAATAGCCAAAGTTTGTTCTTTCAGAATAAAGTCAGGAGCTGGGAGGAGGATAAGGAGGGAGGGAAGATTCTTAAATTGTCAGGCCTGGAAATGTTCAGACCAATTAATTGATCTTTGGATTACAACAGAGTATAAAGGGCACTCTCTCTGTAGCAGAATGGTTCTCATCTGTGTGTTTGTTTTCTTTCAGATCTAAAAGTGTAACAAGTTCCAGCAGCAGCAGCAGTGACAGTTCAGCTAGTGATTCCTCATCTGACAGTGATGATTCTTCTACCTCTTCTTCTTCTGATAGTGACAGTGATGAGAGCTCCTCCACATCCTCATCTTCTCGATCCTCGAGTAGTACTTCCTCATCTTCGGAGTTTGAATCAGATTCCAGTTCCTCCAGCAGTAGCAGTAGCAGCACAGACAGTAGTTCTGATGATGAGCCACCAAAGAAAAAGAAGAAGAAATAATGTGTTACAGGGAAGAACTGTTTCTGAGTGAATTATAACATTCTTCAAAGAGGTTTTGAGCACATGGTTGCCAAACAATTTAACTGGTCAACATTTCTACTGCTAAAACTTTCTGAATGTTCTGTGTCGTTCATAGGACATGAAAGGTATTAAATGGCACGTGAAACTTACTGAAAGAGTATTTTTGAGGTTTATCATTTTATGGGAAATCCTACTTTTTTAGTTTAAAAGTCTATCATCAGATTTGTTTATATGAGCTAAGGCCCAGTAACCTGGATGTTTACATGCTGGAAAGCAAAATCTTTTTATTGCAGATCACGCTCTACATCATATACTACTAGTCTGTTTATGGCAACTTCTCTTACATTTAGAAAATCCTCTAACCTATTAGAAGCAAAAGCTTCACACTGCTGCCTGCAGTGCACTGTCATTGTTGAAATGGAATGCACAGTTGCACACAGGACCTTCCATCTCACTGTTAACAAATATATGCTGCTGAGCTTTTTTCTGGTGGCTTTTCCCGATGCTTCCAGGTTGAGTCTTACTTGCAACATAAAACTTTCAATAGTGTTTATTTGTTAATGATGAATATACTACTTGTACTGTACAGAGGCTTTGCCTGTTTCCACAGTTCATGTATTTGTAGTGCTTTTCAGAGACAGTCTCTTGCAGCAATGTCTGTGTAAGAAAGAGGAGCAGTGCAGGATGGAAGGATTGACTGATGCTGCTTAGGAGTTTCATCTTTGTGCCTTTTTTTGTAAATCACTTGTATCCTTTTGAAAGAAGGGCTTGAATAGGTGTGTTTCAGAACTATTAGCTTTCAATATAGAATAGTCAGTAAAAATGGTAGTAACAAACAAAAATGGCACTATTTTTAGGAGAAAGGAAAGCTATTTTCACTGAATGTTCAGTGAGAAGAAGAGTTGTCTTTAAATGGAATTCCCAAAGGAGAGAGTTTCCCTTTTGATATTTTTGCAAAAAAAAAAAAAAAGTTGTGTAATGTGAGACTGTCAGTCTGTGTTGTTGGGCACGTGGTGACTGGCATTATGGTCTGCAGTATGATCATTCCATCATTTCTGTGAGTGCATATGTCTCTGTGAGAATCTGGAATGGGAGATGCAAATTGATGCAAAGAAAAATCCCAAGTATACTGCAGAACAATTACTGCTGGTTACATATTGAAACTTCTGTGTTCTTTTGGTGGATTTGGGCAGTTGGCATTTGTATTCTAATTTGGGATGTTGTCTCCTGGATTTCTTATTGTTGGAGTTCCCTTTTTTTTGGGAGGGGACATCACACGTGGAAGAATTCTTAAATATCTTGATTTAGGTAAAAGATAGTTACTATTTTTTATATTTTTATGGAAAATGCAGTGTGTAGTATTACTTTTGAATAAACTGTGCTTATATTTAAATGTTTGAAAATATATATGTTGTGTGTTTTAGTTTGTAATCATTACTGTGTTTTGCAGAATGCTGCAGACTTGTAAATAAAATTAACAGAAAATTGTTTGAAGTCCTCCTTAGTGAATGTACTATTTAATGGGAAAAAGTTAATAAATTATTAAACAGTGCTTTCTAAGTTTATGCTTAATGGCAATCAAAATGTAAGTGATACAGTAGTAAAGTGTGGAAGAGATGGTGGTGGTAGGGAGAAGGCATTTGGAGAGTTGTATTCTTAGAGATGACTCTAATCCCAGCCCTGTGACAGCTTTGGCAAACTGTGATGACTGAAGCAGGTTGTTGGGAAGCTTGCAGCCCTGACTTCCATTGTAGGGGCACAGCAGGGGACTGCTGGAAGAGGACATGATGCCCATTTCGTGCTCTCGCTTTGGGTGGCGTGGAGGAGCTGAGTGGCAGTAGCAGCAGCGTGGATGTGAAGGAAGACTGTGATGAGGAACGGCAGTTAATTAGGAGGGAGGGACAAGGGATCAAGTCTCAATTATCTTTGCTGCCCTATTAAGATCGTGTTGTATGTTTGTTTCTGTAATGCTGCTAGTATTTGTGTAGGTGGTTCATCAGAAGTGTATTGATATTCCTCATCAACTCATTTCTGCCAAGAAAGGAAAGTTGATGATTGTCAAACAGCTTGCTAAATGCTAAAGCAAGTCACTAAGTTCAGGGGGTTGGTCTCTTCGTACTTTTATTTACAGTGTCTGCAGCCAGCTGAATTGGGTCCATTCACCAAAGCAAAAGGAAATCCTTGTGTATGTTATGTTCTGTTAGCAGGAGGTATGAAAAGGTAATGTAATTACAGATAACATCAAGGAAACCTTAATTTCTAGTCCATCGTTGGGTGGGGAGAATGAGGTGTCTTACTGCTTTGACTGCATATCAAATACTGCCTAGAGCTGATAAAGTCCCAGACCAGCCATAAAGCTATCTACTCTCACATTGGGTATTTACTTTTAAGTACAATGTCTTATTTTTGTGAGTTTATGTTTATGTATCTTGTTTTACAGATTAAAACCCACCAGCATATGAAGAGCCTTCCTTACCAGTTCACCTTTCAACACACTGCATCCTGATACCTTGTCACAAGATGCTTCAATTCCAGTTCTTTTTGACAGGTATTTCATTAATTACCATCTTTCAGAGCTCTAGGTTAAGTACAGAAAGGCATTAATTGAAAGAAAACAAAGCAACTCTCCATTCTCTGAAATTATTTACTGAGCACGTATATTTTTACACGGGAGTTGTGTATCTTGGAACAGGTTCAATTTAATCCTTCCTATTTCAAGCAAAGCTGCCATCGCTAATTGAAGTGAAGCAATTGATGCAGTCTGGTAGAAAAACAGTCTCAGGAAAAGGCATTGCATTTCAAGGAAAAACACTGCTGAGTGATAGGAGAGCAAGAGAAGGGGGAAACCTGATATTCTAGTGTAAAGCTGCTGAGTGGATTTGCTTTATACAGAAATCATTCCATGTACCTGAGCCTCATGGATGTTTTATGAAGTCACATTTATCCAAGATGTGTCTCTAACCAGATACTGAGATAGGAGTGGTATCAGGCAGATTTTCACAGCTTAATTTTGTTCAAGATGTGTTTAAAAAAAAAAAGTGCGTGGGGGGAGAGGCGTTAGGAATAATACAAAACGTAACACAGAATATCAGCTTGAGAAGTGATACCCCAAAAATGTCACTGTCAAAATATAACTTTAAAGACATTATTGAGACGTAACAGGAATAAAGCACTTTGATTACTTGCTGCTCCTCTATTTACAGTGCAGTGTTACTTTCTCAGAGAAGCTGCCTGTGCCCTCCCCACCTCCATAAAATAGGGAAGCTGTTTGCATTTAACTTTGCGACAGGGCAGAGTTCATCCTCATATCATCATATTTTGTAGTAATGTTGGTAATATCTTGGTTTCATAACTGAGCTCACATTTAACTGCCAGTAACAACAGTTGATGTATTTCAGACGGCGCCAGGCTTAGCTCTATTGGATGTTTTTACAGCGTCTTTGCAAGAAGGTTCCCTGCAGTCAGAGCCTCCATTTGGATGCGGCGCTCAGGGCTGTGATTCAGCAGAGGTTGTTAGAGTTGGGGCAGTATGGTCAGCTTGTGGTTGGACCTGATGATCTGAGGGTCTCTTCCAACCTGAGCAATTCTATGATTCTGTTTAAATGCAAATGCTGGAGTTTAAATTACACTTGTGCAAGAATTTTTTTTTTCTTTTACAATTCTGCTCCATTTTATTCGCACACTTTAACGTCTATTTTTTAGTATGAACACGAAGTAGAACTGCGTTCCACTGCACTGCAGAGCTGGTTTGTGGAAGAAGACAGTTCTATGTATTTATTTTTGTTTTACGTGGGAACTTTTACATAGTTGAAACTTGCAGGCTTTTCCCCAATCACCGACTTCGGAAATTCTCTTGTTGTAAAAGCTCTCCCATGTGGAGGAGCCGTTCCTCGGGCGAATCCGCCTCCCGCGGTGGTGGCTGCGCTCCGCCCGTTATTTCGGCTCAGAGCCGCGCTCCGTACCGCCGTGCTGTGGCCGCCCGACCCGGCAGCCGCGCGGCGCTGGCCGAGGCTGGGGAGAATTGGGCTGCGCCCCGCCTTGCGGGAATCCGGTCTGGGGCTGAGATCTGCCCGGCGGTAACGGTGCGACGCGGCCGGGACGAAGGCGCGCTCCCAGCTGTGACGTGGAGGCGACGTCAGGACGTGCGGCGCCGCGCAGCTCGCGGCACGGCCCGGGGGGCGGCGCTGAGGGCGGGGCGGAGCCTCGCGATGACGTGCAGTGCAAACGAATCCCGTAAGCGGGGCTTCATTCCCGCTCCCGGGGTGCGGCGCGGCCCGTGACGTCACGTGACGCGGCGTGACACGACGTGACGTAACGTCGCCCGGCGTGGTCACGTGGCCGCGGAGTCTCTTCTCCCCCTCCAAACCGTCGGCGGGTCACGTGAGCGGCGCGGGGCTGCGGCGGCGCGGGGGCTGCCGGGAAGCGCGAGTGCCCGGCTGCGGGAGGAGCCGCGGCCCGGCAGGACGGGCGCAGGGCGGGCGGCAGCCGGAGCCGGGCCCAGGGCCGCCCGAGCCGACGTCGTCAGCCCACCCCGACCTCGTCTCGCCGCCAGCCCGGCCCCGGACCCCGCGATGGAGCGGCGGGAGCCCTGGGGAGCCGCCGTCGCCTCCCGCCTGTGAGCCTCTCCTCCCGCCCCGGGCCTCGTCCCGCGCCGGCGGCCGGGCCTGCCCTCCGCTCCCTCGGGGCTCCTCGCACCCCTCCTCCTCTTCTTCCTCCTCCTCTCCGCCCGGCGGGCCGGTGGCGGCAGCCAGGAAATGGTCCGGGCCTAGCGGAGCGGCGAACGGAGGTGAGATGCGGCCGGGGGTGGGGACGCGCCGGGCCGGGCAGCGCCTCCCGCGGGGATCGGAGCCGCGGCGGGGCGGGCCGGGATCCCGGCAGCGGCCCTGCGCCCCGGGCGGCCCCTGCCCGGCGCTGCCCTCCTCCCGGCCCCGCCGCCCCCATTTGTGCCCGTCGCGGGCAGCGCCGGCCCCTCCGGCACCGGGCGGGCGGGCACCGTGGGGCTGCGGCGGCGATCCCCGGTCCTTCGGGGAGCGGAACCCAACGGGCCGCCGCTAAAATGTCTGCTCGGGACGCCGCTGGGTGCTCCCGGTGCCGCCGGGGCCGGCGCAGCCTCCTCTCTGGGCCGCGGGGTTTAATCCTTCTTCTGATTCGTCCTCGCGGCTTTGTTCCTTCCCCCTCGCTCTGTGTTTTCGGCACCGAGCGGGTGGGGAAGGGGCAGGGCCGGGGGGCTCTGAGTGCCGCTGCGGGCACGGCGGATCGCCGGGCACAGGGACTGCACAGCTCGGAAGGGGCTGCGGGCCGTTGGTGTGGTATCGCTGTTACGTAAAGCATCGCCCGCGAAGAGGATAGCATTATGCTCTGTAATCGGGAGAGCTGTCACCTAACATTCCTGAACCCGGGTTGACGAGGTGTTTTTTTTTTTTTTTTTCAGTCAGTGCTGTTGGGTGCCGTGCTGCAGAGCTCAGTGCTTTCAGTTGCTGACTGTTCTGTTTGCATCTTTAAATGGGAAAGTGGCAAACTTCATGACTTCCTTTCACCTGAGTGCTTACACTCATGCCTCAAGCTTGGTCTGGAACGCTGATACCCCAATGAGAGCAGTGCCTCCTGTGGGCCCCTCTCACAGCCCATCTCCAGTGCTCTCCTGTGTGATCATTTCCTTACGAAGGCGCTGACGGAGCTGTGTTCCCACTGATGTCAGTCAGCCCTCCCACTTGCCTCCTGCGAGCAGAGCAGGCACTTACTCAGCACTGACACTCTTGGAAATTAACTTGTTCTCCTCGAGCGTCTGCCTTTATTTTCACCGCACTGCCAGCTCTCTTCTCCTTACTGAACTTCTTAGAAGTGCCTCTCCAGCTCCTTACTGTGAGAGGGAGTGCTGTGCAGCCTGGGGCGTTATTGTGAAATAGGGTCCAGTCAAGTGATGGAAGGAGTGGCATTCAGTATCTCCTGTAATGAGGGAACCGCCATTAAAATCACAGTGCTGCTGTTGTGTCCTGTGCCATAGCGAGGTGTGCGATGTACAGCCTTAGTCATGGTGGTACTGTGTGGGTATGGTACGTGAGTTATACAACAGCTCGTGATGGTGATGGTAGAGTTCTTGCTGTCAGTAACAGGAAGGGAAACTTTTCCACTGGGCATCATGAATGTTTTGGCTTTCTTGATGTATCAATATTATCTTTAATGATTTCCCAACTGCTCTGTATTTGTTTTATAGCATTGTACAAGAGCAAGTTCTCTTCTGCTGAACGCTGTTCTTAGTCATGAAAGAACATGGTAAAGTTCAGCTCTAGCTTCAAAAGCAGATTAAAGTCCCTGATATTTTCTTCCCAGTACTTAGTTGCTGCTTTTCTCAAACATGGGAAATGGAGCACCTGGGGTTGGTTTTCTTCATCAGTTTTGTTCAGGAAGCCACACAGCAACCAAAACAAAATAGATCATATTTGTGTGTTTTGCATTCTTCCCAGTTATAATGATGTGAAGTTGATAAAAATTCAGTGAAATATTTCTTGGTTGTCTTTTTAGTGATATGGAATGTGTTTTTCCCTGGTTATAACCCAACTATTTAATGAAAGGATGCCACTTTTTTTTTTTTTTTTTTTTTTTTTTTTAATCTGCAAACACCATAGAGTTTGCATTGTTCAGGTTTTGTAAATAAATACTTTCAGCAGAAGTCTGTCCCGACCTCACAGTTGGTAGATAATAAGTTGGCAAGCACACTTGAGTTCCTCCTTCCTTTTCTAGCTCCCAGCTGCTGCCAAAGGTGCTCTGCTGCACTTTGTTTTCCACAGTGGTTGTTCCTGGATGTCAGATGTGACTGAAGGCACACAGCTTGTGTGTTACTCGCTGAGAGAACCGTGCCCTGTGTCTGTTGAAGCAGGCAGGACTCTGACCAGGTGGTGGATGGGGAAGCCCAATGCTGTCTGTGTTGGTGAGAGCAGCCATAACTGCTCATCGCTGCTTCAGCACCTCTGTTCTTTTCCCTCCTGCTCATTCTCTTGTTTGGAGAGTTCCTTGTAGTTGTTACTAGTCTTTTCCTTTGCTCTAGATCACCAGAAGGCTGTATTGAGGGCAGAAACAGCAGCAAGTGATATCCATGTTTGAGGCTGAACGTTGAGTGCTGAGAGGTGAAATGGGCAGCTGTCTTCTAGGCAGATTTGTCCTTGTGAGGAAATGGGGGGAGAGTGCTAGGATCCTCCAGGAGGCCATGTTAATGGGCAGCAGTGTGTTTGCAGGGCTGGGAGAAAGTGACATAGCATTGTGAGTGGGGTCTGAGGGTGTCAGAATAGATTTGAGGTTTTAGTGGCTGTGAGGTTTATTCTCTGCTGCAGTAATTTCAGATTGTTACATGCGTGTGCTTTGTTCTATGGGCAGAACTCTGCTGTTACTATAACCTCACAGTTACCTTCAGACAGGGGCTGAGAAGTAACAAAACCCAAATCTGCTGCCTCCCAGGTCGTTTGTTTTCAATGTCTGTCTTGGAGTTTGTGTCATGGAACAGCTGATGTTGGTGCCGTCGTCTCTAAGGCAGAAAACCTCCAAGTTGTGAGGAGATGGAGGGGCCATAGCATGAAGAGTCTGAAAACGAGTCAGAAAACTTTAAGAGTTCGTGCTTTGGTAGAGCAGTGTTAGATGTACGTAAAATATATTGCTAGCTGTATTAAAACAAGAAAATAAGAAAGTGAATTGATGGAACTGCAAAAGCAAAGATGAAATGACTTAATCTAGCAATTACTCTTCTCTTGCAGGGTTGTTCCTTTTCTGCAGTTACTCAGGGCTGACAAGATGACTTTTACCTTGTGAAATGTTAGGGGTTCTGTCGCAGCTCAGGAAATATAACTGCAGAGGCTCCAGCTCCTTCCTGTCATAAAGCTTTTCTCCTGAGTTTAGTCAGCCAATATTTTTATAGCAGTACTGTTCTTAGGCTTTTTTTTTTTTTTTTTTCCCCTCTGGAAATCCAGACAGATTTTCTCTTGTAGTTACTGTGTAACTGGAGGTACGTGTCCCTGTTGTGGCGGTGCAGGGAAGGGGAGGGCGGTGGCTGTGACCCCACGGAGGTGCCTCGCAGTGCAGTGCTGTGGGAGCAGGGCTCGCTTCCTCGCCTGGTGTCGTGCCAGCTTCGTACGTGCAGTCCTGAATCCCACTTTCCCATTTAGCTGCAGGATTGTTTGCGTCATGCGCTCGTGTCTCCTTTGGTGCCTGCCGTCTCCCCAGGCTCTCCAGTTCTTACTGCTTTCCAGGTTTCTTTCTCCAGCTTTGTTTCAAACCTCCTTTTTTCCCTAATGTGGTGAACTGTATTTGCTTCCCAAGTGCATTCGCTTGTAGTTCTTCAAGTTGTCGTGTCTCTTGTTCTTACTTGATTTGTTAATTATTCCTGCTGACGAATGTGAAACCCAGTTTATTAATAGCACCAGGTACCAACAGGAGAAAAAAACCCTCATATACTTGTACTGTACAAACACAGAATAAGAGAAGTTCTTGCCCTGAAGTCTTGAACTAATTTTCTTCTGTTAACAGCTCATTACTAATGTTTGCCTGCACTTGGTTCTGCTGAGGCGTGGTACCAGCCCTGCCTCCTGAACGGCTCACAAACCCCGTGTATTGATCTCTCTTTATCAAGTTGGTCTTCCTTGTTATTCGTGATTACTGATATTAAACAATTATTGATAACTCAAACATGTTAGTTGTCCACTAATTTAATTGTTTTAAAATTTGTTTTAAAACTAAACAAACTGACAGTGTATTTTTACTAATGCTGTTATCTTGCAGTGATCATGTTTTTCAGTACAGACTTATCCCAGATCTCTCACTGCTGATAATTCTACTCCTCTCTAACCCAGAGCAGTCTCTTGCTATGCATTTCCTTACAATTACAGGGCAGAATAAAGACTACGTGTAGCAGCCAGCCAGCTGGCACAGTGCTGCAGCTCTCTTAAAGCTGGTATTGTGGTCATTTTCATGTAAAAGACTGATGTTTCCTTCCTTATCTGCAATTTCTGAAAGTGGCTTTAAGATATGTGTCCTTTAGGCCGGCCCTGAAACTGTCCTCAGCTGCTGAGTTTGGTGGCTCTTAGGGGAGGAGCAGAAGGGAATTGTGTGCGTGCCTCTTCTTGTGGCTGGGAGCTGTCAGAGCACCTGCATTAAACCACAGTGAATTCCAAACTCGGTTCTCTTAAAGCTTTTTCTACGTGTGGTGTTAAAATGAGGAGCATCCAGGTTCTGGTACCCCATAACTTTGTAGCTTTTAGGAAACAAAGTAGATGCTTGGTGTACTTGGATTGGATTTTGTGTTGCTTGATGTTGTTTGCCACGCAGATGGCGGTGGGCATTGCTGACCTTCCCTGCAGGTGATGCTGTGTTTAACTCCATTAGAGAACCGCCTGTTCTAATCACTGTCTCTTCAGGCAGTCACTGTTGGGGCAGAGCTGGGCTTTTTTGAAGCTGATACAAGACAACAGTGGAGACTTGAGTGCGTTTCTTGGTGTCTTGTGGCTTTTTTTTTTTTTTTGCTCTGCTGTATCTGCATTTTTTAAGTATTAGCTATAGTTAATATATAATAGTGCTGTTTTATACCTCTCACAATTAGGACCTGCCCAACAGTGATATTAGAGGCGTCTATCTCCCAACCTCACTGCTTCCCACCCTGACCTGCCTGGGCTTCTCCATCCCCTGCCCCGTCCAACCCCCCATGGCAGCTCCACGCCTGGCTGTGTCTCCACATTTCCCCTCTTTGGATCTTTAGGAAGGTGTTTACACGGGGATTGTGTGCAGTGCAGCATTGTGCTGCTC